ATCCATTTTGAGTTTATTTTTGTGTATGGTGTTAGAAAGTGTTCTAGTTTCATTCTTTTACAGGTGGTTGACCAGTTTTCCCAGCACCACTTGTTAAAGAGGTTGTCTTTTTTCCATTGTATATTCTTGCCTCCTTTGTCGAAGATAAGGTGTCCGTAGGTACGTGGATTTATCTCTAGGCTTTCTATTTTGTTCCATTGATCTATACGTCTGTCCCTGTGCCAGTACCATAGTGTCTTGATGACTGTGGCTTTGTAGTAGAGCCTGAAGTCAAGCAGGTTGATTCCTCCAATTCCATTCTTCTTTCTCAAGACTGCAAAGCAAAGTTTAATATCCCAGAGGAGTATGCTCTATTGAACTCTTACAGGTTATGCACTATAACATTTTCTTATTTCAGAGATCAGAAGTTTATATTATTTTTGTCAAAATTATGATATTTTAAAAGGGCTTTCAGAAAATTCAAATATGCACATGGTCTTGGATGACATTAAAAGCTTAGCGTCAGCATGATAATGGCCTTGTTGGTTATACCTTTTTCTTAAATATCTGGAGTAAGAGGACATGATGCCCAAGTTTTACTTTAAGATATTCCAACAGTGGGAAGCAACAAGATATTCTCTAGTAGGTGAATGGATAGACTATGATACACCAGATAATGGAACATTACTCAGCATTAAAAAGAAATGAGCTGTCAAGCCATGAAAAGACATGGAGGAATCTTACATGCACATTACTAAGGGAAAGGAAAGAAGCCAACAAGAAGAGGCTAGATATCTCCTGTATGGTTCCAGCTCTATGACATTCTGGAAAAGGTAAAACTATGGAGTCAGTAAAAAGATCAGTGGTTGCCAGGGGTTAGTGGAGCACTAAGGATTTTTAGGGCAGTGAAATAACTCTGCATGATACTAAAGTGGTGGACTACATACATGTCACTATATATTTGTCAAAACCTGTAAAATGTACAACACCCAAGGATGAACTCTTCTGTAAACCACAGACTTTGATAATAACAATGTGTCAGTGTAGGTCCATCAATTGTAAAAGATGTTCGGCTCTTGTGAGAGACAGTAATAGTGGAGATGGCTATGCATAAGCAGGAATAGAGGGTATGTGGGAAGTCTCTGCACCTTCTGCTCAATTTTACTGTGAACTTACAACTGTTCTAAAAAATAAAGTCTACTAAAAAAATTTGCTAAGAGGGTAGGTCTTCTGCTAATTATCGCCATCATCATCATTGTAAGGAGGAGGAAGGCGACGGAAGGAGGGAGGGCCGGAGGGAACTTTTATTTATTTTTGGCCACACTGCACAGCATGTGGGATCTTAGTTCCCCAACCAGGGATTGAACCCATGTCCCCTGCATCGGAAAGCAGATTCTTAACCACTGGACCACCAGGGAAGTCTCTGGAGGAAACAATCAGAGGTGATGAATATGTCCATGGCATAGACTCTGGTGATGGTCTCACGGGCAAAGAAAAAAAAAAAAAGAGCCATCAAATGACCCACTTAGTAAGGCAGAGGTGAGGCGCTCCTGGATGTCTTTCCGCCTCTACTCTGACTCTCCGAGGAAAAGCTACCTGTGAGCACAGACCCCAAAAGTAGCTACATTAAAGCTTGTTTCTAGTAAGAGCTCATACACCAAGAATGTAATTCCCACCATTCCAACTCCATGTAGTAGGTAGAGAACTGTACTGCTGACTTTTATGTTCCATGAAATAACAGGATATTTCAAACCAAATTCACCTGTGAGAAGAGGTAATTAATATTTAGACTGACAAAGGTCTAGTCCTATGGGCTCAGACTGAGTGAGCACTATACATAGAGTAATGGCCAGCAGCAAATGCACATGAGGAGGACTGGGGGGCAGCACAGACTCTGAGACTCCAGAAACACTCCACAAAATATGAAATTAACCAAACACCTGGTGCAAGTAAACTAGAATTTCTAATAAATAAGATCTCAGGTATTATTACATACCTAGATATTATTACATATCTAAACCTGGGCCTCCCTGGTAGCTCAGGGGTTAAAGCATCTGCCTGCAATGCAGGAGACCTGGGTTCGATCCCTGGGTTGGGAAGATCCCCTGGAGAAGGAAACGGCAACCCACTCCAGTACTCTTGCCTGGAGAATCCCATGGACGGACGAGCCTGGCGGGCTACAGTCCACGGGGTCACAAAGAGTCGGACACGACTGAGCGACTTCACTTCTCTTCGAACCTGGGCCTGCTTTGGCAAGCTCTAACTGTTCAGTTCTCTGAATATGTATCTTAGAGGAATTTTATGCTGTCAAAGCTCTGAAGATTTCTGGAAAGGTTCACATGCAAATGGCATGGGGACAACTGAACTGTGCTTCTGGTCATTTATTTACAACTTCTACACCAATTAGTAGAGACTGACTGGCTCAATGGAAGCCAATACAAGTAAAAACAAAAACAAACAAACAAACAAACTCCATAAATATTACCTATTATGTAAGTTACCAGGCCAAGTTAGCAAGTTTGGGATATTCAAATAAAACATTAGTTGTGTTTCTTTTACAAGTGAGGTGTGTGTTTGTGTATCTATGTATCTATTTAGAATACAAAGAGCATTTCAAATGTTTGGCCCTCCCTTGTCTAGTCTAACCATAACGGAAGATCCAAAACCTAATGGGGAAGGTCCCAGTCATCTCACTCTAATTTAGGCTTGAGTTATTGGCTTCCCTGGTGGCTCAGTGGTAAAGAATCCACCTGCCAATGCAGGAGATATGGGTTCAATCCCTGGGTTGGGAAGATTTCCTGGAGAAGGAAATGGGAACTCATTCCGGTATTCTTGCCTGGGAAATTTCACAGAGAAGCCTAGTGAGCTACAGTCCACAGGGTCACAAAAGAGTTGGACACGACTTAGTGACTAAACAACAACAACTGGCACATCACAGATTCACTCCATTTTCAGCTTCTTAGATGGAAGAATCGCACTTAGAGGTCTTGGAATTTGATCATGGACCTCTAGATGGTACCTACAGCTAATACTAAATTTTTACTAAGCAGAAATGGAGCGTTAATCAGGGAGTTAGGAAGCCATCGCGATAATTTAATACCTATGTCCTAATTAGAAGGATAACATTAAATTTTTTTATAATTTTCTTTTTTTTTTTTTTTTGCAAAGCCTCAAGTCAATTTGAGGCTTCAAAATTCCCTGTAAGCTTCAAGATTCTAGACTAAGGAATTAAATTAAAATTTAAGAGCCACAGGATAAAAAAAAACCTAATACCCACCCTGGTTTGAGATCTATTTCACTCCTCTGTTACGGGGAATTTAACAATATCTAATAACTGAATTCATCAAGCCAATAAGAGAAATATAATTAAAAATAGCATTTTGCAGATAATACTGTAATATTAGAACTGGCCGCAATTCCAGTATTTCCTCAGTTTCCAGAACTTCCACGGAATAGATGGCCTGAATAAGACAATGATTTGGATTCATTTGATTAACTGAAGCTCTCATTGAAAACGATACTACTGAGGTTTACTCTAATAACCCAAATAAAATAGCATTTTAGATTTTAAAAGGTGGCAGCAATAGCAACTGAGAAAAGTATTCTAAGAAAGTCCCTTTATTGCTAAATTTGGAATCCTAATACAAGTTTCAGGAGAACTAGGTCCAGCAATCCTAGGTCTGAGAAGTCATCTCGTGACTCTTTTTGAGAGATAAGAACCCCACTGTTCTCAAAGCTCATCTATCAAAGAATGTTAGAACTTCCCTCATTTAAATGCGTAATCTGATTACAAGCAGTTCAAGAACTGATACAATAATTTCCCTCCTCAGCATCTCCCAAGTTAGGAAACACTCCTCCGGAAGTTTACCGTGCACCTTTAATCTCCTTCCCCCAGTCTTACTTACATCATGCCCCTGCATGCCACGTTTACCCTAAGGGAATCCACATCATAAAGTCCCAATGTCCAGACATGCAGCTCACCCAATCCATCAGAAAGGCTTCAAAAGTATGTAAATATTAATTTCTAGCCAAAGAACAAAGCAAAGTTAATATCTAAAATTAAAATAGACTTCAGATGTGACACTAATAGACTAAAGAACACTGTCTTCAAAAGAACAGAGCTTGAGGGAGTCTCTGGGTTTTATTATTTTTAAAAATCTCTATGCAATTCTTAAAAAACAAATAAACAAAAAAACAACTCTGGGACTTATATCGGTGTAGTCATTAAAAGCAGGTTTATTTACTGACATGGAAAGACACCCACAGGCAAGTGTGATGAAAGCAGGTTAGAACTGATCAGCCTTTCAAACATATACTGTCCCTTCCCCAAGTCTCATTCAACCATTGACAAGTCTTCAGTGATCCACTGTCACCTTTATAAGCACATACAACCTAGAAATAAGTTTTAAATTACTTTATATTTTTGCTTGTCAGCACTACAGAGATCATGCTTTAGGTAAACTGCAAGGTTTTCTGACACTTAGATTTGGCTGTTTTCATCAATGACCCAGTTCAGTAAGAGCAGATTGCAGAGCATCAGACACATTGTTGTTGTTCAGTTGCCAAGTCCAGATCGACTCTCTGTGACCCCATGAACTGCAGCATGGCAAGCTTCCCTGTCCTTCACTATCTCCCTGAGTTTGCTCAAACTCATGTCCCTTGAGTCAGTGATGCCATCCAACCATCTCATCCTCTGTCACCCCCTTCTCGTCTTGCCCTCAGTCTTTCCCAGAATCAGGGTCTTTTATAGTGAATCAGCTCTTCGCATCAGGTGGCCAGAGTATTGGAGCTTCAGCGTTAGCATTAGTCCTTCCACATACTCTTACACATACACTTAAGACTAAGAAGGATAATCATCCAAAGAGTAAAAATGATTGTCTTGGGGTACAGGATACAAAGTACTTTTTACTTTGTTCTTTATGAATTTCTGTACTGTCTGATTAAAGACAAAACATTTTCTTTTTGGAAAAAAATCAATGTACTATACAACAAAACCAAAAAACTCATTTTCTTAAATTCTCCTGCAAATTACTCAAGGACACCTTCTAGTAGTACCTTGCCAGAACCTCAGTTCTAGTTAAAAATATTAGCTAAAGTTACTTTAAATGTTAGGAAAGTTCTTAATTTCCTAGTCTATTTTTTTTTTAATTAAATGGGTCTTTGATAATCTGTAAGAGTACTATAAAACCACTGTCTTCATTTTATCAGCTACAGTTTTCCTAAGTACTAATGCTTAAGACTGTATTTACAATGTAGACCTTTCCTGGAGGAAAAATTAGTTTAGTCCTATTTTCAATGCTAAAGCAAAATGTGGGATTTAGTGCCTCTATTTGTTGTTAAATTATTAAAAAAATAAAAGCAGTACTTTCAGTTGACTAGCAAACTTTTAACCTTATGCACAATCCCCAGGATGAGAGTTTCAGCATTTCAAATTTAACTCAAAACAAAGGACTTTGCTTTGAGTCTACAAATACTTCTTTCAGTTAGAAAAGTGCTAATTTGTCCAAAGTCATACAATGTATTCACTCATTTTCTTGAAGATGACTCACTCAATAATCTGAAACATAATGACTATGTGTTTGCAACAATTCAAAACAACTGCTGTAAAATGGCTTATCACTTGAACTCTGAATTCATTCAAAGGCTTCAGTTACATTTTTTGAATTTATACTTTATAAATGTAAAGCAGCTGAAGCTGCATATTTTAGCAGCAAAGAAAAAAAATTAATTGCCAATTCAGCCTTCCTAACTGCTCCCTTATGCTTTCCCAAGTCTCTAGTGGTTGAAATTATTTTAACATTTGGAGGTGCAATCCCAACTCTGGAATTTTATTAATGAGAAGAAGATAAAGTGAGTGATCGATCTCAGCTTTAGCTCTACCAAAGCTCACAGTTTTTGGAAACTATCCACAAATTTCTATTTTTAATACATGCAAGTTACTGTTATGGATTTTAGAGGGGTTGTTCTCAAAGTGTGATTCCTGGACCAGCAGCATCAGCAATACTTGAAAACTTGCTAAAAATGTAAATATTACTGCCTCCCTCTCCTCAAATCAAACTCTTGAGGTGGAGTCCAACAAATGGCAGTTTAACAAGCTTTGCAGGTGATTCTGATGTACTCTGAAGTTTGAGCATCACTGCTTCAGAATGTGTGAGTTATGGTCAGTAACTCACAAACTGGTGCTCAGCAAGTCTTGGATGATCAAATTATTTCACATCATTTCAGATTAGCTCACATCCCCAATTACATTCTAAGCTCTTTGCTGATGTCATTCTTCTTTTCTAGTCCACATAGTTCCCAGCACTGTGCTGGGACATAAAAATGACTGTTTAATGTTTGCTATCTTAGTCTTTTGAAGAAGAAAGTTATAATAATACCACTAACTTACCAGCCTGATGTTGTCTTCTGGGCGAAGTAATATGAACATTGCTTGGAGATGCTGTTGGAGATCACCTGGTGAAATTTACAAAACAAACGATAATTATTCTCCATTGTAATGTTAAGAGAGAGGATTCCTTCTACCCTAATAACTTGTGTAAAAGAAAGTTCTGGTTCACTGAGGGGCTCTAATTAGACAGAGAAACTGAGTGTCTTTATATGAATGGTGGACTGCATCTCCATACATTCACTTTTAAGTTTATACTACATTAAAATTTGCTTTGTGTTTGTCCTAGCTGCACTTGAGACCAATCACAGTTTTGTACTATGACTGATGTTGATGAGACTGATGGGCAGAGAAAGCACTGGCTGTGTTTTCAGGGCCACAGAAGGTGGAAATGAGGAAATCTTGAAATTGAGGTGTATGGTATGTAGTGTTAGAATCATTCCTAACTTAAAAAAAGCTAACCATTTTGCCATTCCTATTTTTGTAACTGTAATATTCAGCTGCAAAAATCATAATTAAAAAGATTTTTAGATTCCCCCCGGAATAATGTCAACAGTTAAAAATGATTTTCAGATTAGTAGCTGATATTAAAAAGACAGTACTTATTAAATAGGTTTCCCAGATGGGGCAAAGGTAAAGATTCCGCCTGCCAATGTAGGAGATGCAGGTTCAGTCTTTAGGCTGGGAAGATCCCCTGAAGGAGAAAGTGACAACTCACTCCAGTATTCTTGCCTGAAAAGTTCTATGGGCAGAGGAGCCTGGAGGGCTATAGCCCATAAGAGTCGGACATGACTGAGCAACTGAGCATGCACTTACTGAATACATCAAATCTTGGGAATTCCCTGGTGGTCCAGTGGTTAGGATTCTGTGTGTTCACTGCTGAGTGCGTGGGTTCAATACTTGGTCAGGAACTAAGATCTTGCAAGCCACATGGTATGGCCAAAAAAAGGAAAAATTCATGTATGTGTGTATAAATACAGTAAATCTCAAGGGATATAAATTCTAGTGAACATACCATTAGGTGCTTTAAAACGGCCAATCATTATTTCAATCCTCCTTAGTTTTTATACATTCTATAAAACTAAGTTGAAATTTCTTTGTATCAAACTATTATAGATTTCCTCATATTCCCTACCGTACTAGGAAATCTCAAAGCTTTGGCTGTGTGTTAGTTGCTCAGTCGTGTCCGACTCTTTGCAACCCAATGGACTGCAGCCTGTACCAGGCTCCTCTGTCCATGGAATTCTCCAGGCAAGAATACTGGAGTGGGAAGCCATTCCCTTCTCCAGGTGATCTTCCCGACCCAGGGATTGAACTCGGGTCTCCTGCATTACAGGCAGATTCTTTACTGTCTGAACCACCAGGGAAGCTTTGGCTAGTAAGAGGTAATTAGATAATGTGCTGTCATAAATGATGACAACGAGAGAACAAAAAAACTTCATTCCTGCCCAACCCTTTTTTGAGAGTCTAAAGTAACTAACACAGCTGCATAATCACAGATGCCAGTGTAACCTGTTCTCACACTGGTCTTGGAATCTCCATACATACTTTTCCTCTAGGTAACTTCATAGCTGTTAATTATGAGATGAAATACTGATATGTGCAAGAAGTGGAGAGAGATAGGAATAAAAAAAAGTAGGCTGGCAAACAGACGTTGTCCATCCTGTGGTACTTGTGGGATCGTAGGCTCCCTGACTAGGGATGGAACCCAGACCCTCAGCAGTGAAAACGCAGAATCTTTACCACTAGACCACCAGGGAATTCCCCTCTTTTGTTCTCTTAAAGAACAGGTTTTTTTGCCTTTTCCCCCCATTTTACTGTTGGCTTCTTTACTTCTTCTATTGAAGAAACTTTCAACTTTCAAAATTAAAAAGAAGAGTCATTATGTTTGCCCAGGTTCATTCTATTATACTTCAAACCCAGAGACACAATATAAGTCTCATGTACAAGAACCAGTGTGGGTTCATAGCAGAAATCCAAGAGAAATGAAAACATGTGTCCACACAAACACGTGTACACAATGTTCACAGCAGCATTATTCATATTAGTCCTCAAATGGAAAACACTCAAATGTCTATCAACTGATGGATGGGTAAATAAAATGTGGTATATATCCATACACTCTGATACTATTCTATCATAAAAAGATATATACTACAACATGGATGAGTCTTGAAAGGGGCCATGTCGCAAGTGAAAGGTGCCTGTTTCAAAAGACTGTGTATATGGTTCCCCTTATACGGAACACCCATAATAGACAAATCTATAGAGACAGGATGTAGATTAGTGATTGTTCAGGGATAGAAGGGAGGGTGGGGGATATAGGGAGGGACTGCTAATGGGTACTGGGTTATTTTTTGGGGTGACGAAAATGTCCTAAAATTAGATTTGTGGTGATGGCTGTGCAACTCTGTGAATATACTGAAAAAAAATCACTGAATATACACTTTAAATGGGTAAATTGGGTGAGTAATACAGTATTTATGTCTCAATAAAGCTGTTAAAAAAAGAAAAGAACGAGAGTGGGGAGACAAAGTGTTAGGTATAAACAATGAAGAATGACTACAATTACTAGCTACAATTGAGGTAAGCAGCTCAGGCTTTTTAAAAACTAAGTTTTCCTTTTGTTCTATGAAGACAAATAACCTGAGGAAAGAATTTTCAGGATGGAGAACTTCCAGAGGAGAAAAATGTTTCTGGGCAAATGATCAGTTGCTAAGTTATGTCTGACTCTTGCAACCCCATGGACTGTAGCCTGCCAGGCTCCTCTGTCCATGGGGTTTCCTAGGCAAGAATACTGGAATGAGTTCTCATTTCCTCCTCCAAAGGATCCTCCCGACCCACAGATTGAACCTGCGTCTTCTGCCTCTCCTGAAATGGCAGGTGGGTCCTTTACCACTTGAGCCACCTGGGAAGCCCTTCTGGGCAAAGAGTAGCGGGAAATCCCCATTCTAACTACTACTGGGCCAAAGATCTAGCTGGCTTCTCAAAAGGTTCACCAAAGTCAGGGAGCCCTACCCCTCCAAAGGGGCTTCTTCTGCGAGCGGGGCATGTAGAAGTTCAGGTTTGTTTGTGGTGAAAAGCACTGCCATGAACAAAGTGGGTGCTTCCTACCAGGAAACCGTCCTTCACAGAGACTAACTGAGGCAACACACCCAAACCATTAAGATTCCCTCCCTACATTTTGTTTTCATATATTTCACTGTTCGTAGTGAAGTTTTAGACTTGTTTGATTTTATAGACGTTTGGTTGTTTTTTTCTTTAAAATGTTAGCAGACACTCATTTATGATATTGCCTTTTGATTACAAAAAAGTACTTGGACATTTTTAATGAAGCCAGATAAAATTCTAACTAGTTCGAGAAACATGCAGAAGAAAGTACCATGAGACAGAGGAAGCCCTTGATCTGCTCTCAATTCTGCAATCGTCTTTTCAGTTACTGTGGACTTGGCCAAGGGAGCTCCCAGCTTATGTGAAGGTCTGGCTCTATGAGCTTCATTTATACTCACACTGCCTCATCTGTTCTGGTTTGAATCACAAATAAAGTCCATTCAGTTTGTGTTAAATCTGCTTTTCTTTTTGGTATAGAGAAAGCTCAGTGGACAAGGTCAAGTAGAAACCTGGGTGGCAGCTGAGTGTAGAAGTCTGACCAAAGAAAAAGACCAACCAGGGCCAGGAACTTTAAAAGCCCCTGACCCCACTTACCACTACATGCCACAGAGCAATTTAACTAACATCTTAGTCAGACCAAGCTGGATTTAAGCCAATATTTCATCTTCTTTTTACTGTTAAGTGGTAAATATCCACAGCAAACAGAAACACAAAGCTCAACAGGGTCTACTTCCTCTGTGCATTCAAGTTTTGGGTGAGTTTTTTCACCTGCCTCTTTTAAAAAATTTTCCACGGCTGAGGTTTTGGTAGGAGGATAATACTGTCCAATGAGCTGGATTATAATTCTGAGCTACTATGTTTTGAACTAGATGAAGCACCAAACAAGAAGTAGGGCAGCCACTAAAATAGCCGAGATTATCTGGACTGGAGCTAAACTCAACTACTGGCTCAATGGGACCCAGGATTTCTGGTTTTCACCTCTGACCTACACACTCAAGGTTTACAGTCTTTCTTTGTTCTTTTCTTACTAATTATAATTTCCTCCACTCCTTGAGGTAATATGTCATCCAAATGGCCTATTTTGGACAATAAGCAAACACTCTTTGTGTAGCACTGATTGATGTTTCCCTAACTGTTGTCCTGAGGACAACCAACTTTTATCTTTCCCTCAAAATGATACAAATTAGACTTGCTGTTTAGAAGAGAGGCATAAGGCTGGTTATCTTCTTAAACTATGGATATCATATACCTGGTGACCTCTCTCCTGATACAAACTTTCTTTGATTCTTTCTTAACCTCATCACCACAGATGCACCTAACTCTAGAGAAGTCTAACATATGGAAATATAAATGCATCTTCTACTGTTAGTGGGTGTGATACTGTGATTTATAATAAGAAATATATTTCATCTCAGTCCAGTTTGTGGCACAGTTTTTAATATTGGAATTTCTTAAATGATGGGAGCCACGAAGATGTCTTCTGTTATATTAATGACCTGACACTCTAGGAAAGTGCCTCGGGATGGGGCTGGTTGCCAGGGGAGACAACCACGTGATCAACCACGTGATCAGAGGGTTGGGATTTCCTTGTCTGGGGAAGGAAGAGGGGCTGAAAAGTTGAATGGATTACCAATAGTCAATAATTTAATGATGTCAGTGTCATGAAGCCAGCACAAGAACTCAAAAAGGCAGGGTTCAGAGTGCGGCTAGATTGAGGAACGCATGAAGATTGGGGAGCATATAAAAATACACTCAGAGGGTAAGAAGCCTAGTGCCCCTTCCCAAATATCTTGCCTTATACATCTCTTCCATTTGGCTGTTCTGAGTTATATCCTTTTATAATAAGCCAGCCATCCAGTAAGTAAAATGTTTCTCTGAGTTCTGTGAGCTGCTCTAGCAAATTACACAATCCCAAGGAAGGGGTCACTGGAACATTCAATCTACGACAAGTTGGACTGGTGACTGGCATCTGAAGTGGGGGATTGGGGGGGCGGCCTTATACAATAGAGCTCTTAACCTGTGCAATCTGACACTACCTTCAGATAGTGTCAAAAATGAGTTGAATTGCCGGATACCCAGTTAGTGTCTGAGAACTGCTTGGAAGTGTGGGAAAAAAAGCCTCACATTGTTATTAGGTGAAGAATATTAGCAGGTTATTTCAAAATCAGAGCATTATATCCATACCTAACATTTATTTGATGACTCCCCGTTTCTACATAAGTCTTCTGAATTACATTTTCAGTCTTTTTAATGTGAACACAATCAAGACATAGACTCTGGTATTTAAATATGGCATATAATAACTCTTATTATCACAATAGTGACACTGAATTTACTTTAAATTAGTAATATACCATATTAGTCTTGTGACTTCCCCAGAGAGCAGACAAAAACAAATACTATCTTTGGTCAATTGATACTGCATAGGATTTGAGGAAACATCTGAACATCTTTTAGCTGATTACCAAAACCTTACTCAAGAAATCACATTAAGATGTCAATAATGTCTTTTTGTACCTTATTATTTTTCCAACAAAAATTAATCAAACATCGACTTCATGTATAAGGTATTCTGCTAAGTGCCAGAAAAATGGTCTATGAGCATGAAAGAAAAGTGATTAGAGCACAGTACAACGCTTTCTTTCACTATTACAGAACTGCTGGAGAAATGGCAATGGAGGCAGTCAGTCTTTTAAGACAAAACAAAAGGCAGAGGTCAAGAACAGGAATGGCGGATGTGGAGCTTTACCTGCGTGCTTGTTGCGTCTGTGGCTGACCCTTGGTGTGGATGAGCCATTTCCCCGTGGCAAAAAAAGGGCAGCACCTTTGACGGTTAGAAAGCTCTCGCTACAGTCTTTTAAGACAAAACAAAAGGCAGAGATCAAGAACAGGAATGGCGGATGTGGAGCTTTACCTGCGTGCTTGTTGCGTCTGTGGCTGACCCTTGGTGTGGATGAGCCATTTCCCCGTGGCAGAAAAAGGGCAGCACCTTTGACGGTTAGAAAGCTCTCGCTGATGCTGCAAGGAAAAAAGTACAAATAAATAAGTAAATAACTAATTTAAGGAAGAAAAACCAAAGAGTAAGATGAAGACTGACTTTGGGATTATTTTCTCTCTTTCCTCTTCTAAAGTTCCAACCTCATGGGACGAAGTAAAAATAAAATCAAAAGAGACTCTGATAAACAACAAGGTACTACTGTATAGCCCAGGGAACTATATTCAATATCCTGTAACAAACCATAATGGAAAAGAACATGTATACATAATGTATGAATCACTTTGTTGTACACCAGAAACTAATATGACATTGTAGATCAACTATACTTCAATTTAAAAAAAAGAAAAAAAGAGAGACTCTGGTTACTCACACAGTCTTGTCTACTATAGACAATTCTTCTGAAAGAAAATTCACACTATTCTACATACATTACATAGTAGCAGTTAAGAGAGCAGGTTCTAGAAACAAGGGTAAAGGGTCTGGAATCAGACTGGCTGGGTTTGAATCCTAGCTCTGCTACTTCTTACCTGAGTGAGTTTAGGGGGCCTAAGTTTCTTTATCTATAAAAGAGAGATTAATAAACAAATTGCGCTTCTTGTGAGGAGTCAGTAAGAATAAGAAGCTTCTTAGAGTGGTGCCCTTAATAAATATTAGTTTAACAACTCATAGATCCTGGGTTGTCAATAATGGTGTTTCAACAGTGTTCTAATCAGATGTGAAATGTATTATAATACTTAGCTACTAACAATAGATATAAGTTTGCAGAAAAAGATTTATATTTAAAATACACACACATCACATTAAAGTGTTACTCAGAATTTTACTTTCATAAACTTGCATTTCCATAGCATTGAAAAGGCATAGTGCACAGGAAGTATGTTCAACTCACAGAGTGTGCCTTGGGTATTAATATGATCCTTCACAAGAATGACAGCTCAACAGAGATGGAGAATTACTGCTTAGAGGCTATTCAAAGCACAATTACTAATGGATATCCACAAAAAAACTGAAATTATATCTGCATTATTTCATATCAACAGACTGCGCCTTTCAATGTTATCTACAGAATTCAAAAAGAATAGAACTTATAAACCATTAATGGTCAAGTCTAGAAACACATAATGAAGGATTCCAAGATTGTCTTTGAATACTCCAGTCAGGGTTAGTCAATGTATTGTAAATTACACTGCTCTGCCTATTTGGCATTTCTGCTTGGAAATCTAATTGGCATGTCAAATTTATACTGCCAACACTAATCTCTTGAATTCCCTGCAAATCTGATCCCTGGCCACATCCACCCAAATTGTTTAGGAAAAACATATAACAGTTATTCTTGGCTTCTCTATGTCTGACAATATATATCTAACCTATCAACAAGACCTATGAGACTTGAATTTGTCCATGTATCTCCATCACCACTCTGACAATGGTCCAGGGCACCACTGGTTTTCACTTAGACTGCCGTTTGAAAAGTTTTCTTTTAGGGTTTTATTACAGAAAATTTCAAATCGATTCAAAAGTAGAGGTAATAATATATGAGCCCCTATGTTCTCATACATTCCAGTTTCCGTTCATGGCCAATCTTGTTTCTTCTGTACCTCTACCTCTTTGTCCTGACCCTGAAGTGAAACTAACCCCAGACATTGTATCAGCAAAAAGCCTATAAACTGGTCTGTCTGCAAGTATATCTGTACCACCACTATCCACTTAGCAAAGAGCAACCAGAGTGATTTAAAATAAAATATATAGATATATATCATATAACATCACTTCCCTGCTTAAAACCCTCCAAGAGCTTCCCTTTGTATGTATAAATAAAACCCAAAGTCCTTAGCTGGGACTTCAAGACCCTGTAACAGCTGATAGTTACTTCCCTGGTCTTATACCATCTCCCTTTTTCTTTACTACAGTCTGGATGCACTAGTTTCCCTCTGTTCTATATTTCAGGCCCTCCTCGGGGCCTTTGTGCTCTTTGTTTTCTACCTGGGACACTATTCTCCTGGCTTGTCACCATCTACGTCACAGCTCCATATCATCACCTTCCCCCATTTCAGCATACTCTATCCTGTTGTTCTGTTTTGTTTTCTTTCAGGATATTTATCATAAACTACAATTATATGTATTCACTTATATACTTGATTGTGGTCATCTCCCTATAATAGAATATAAACTCTATGAAGAGCAAGACTTTTATTTTTCTCAGCACTGTATCTTCAACACTGGAAACAGTGCCAAGCACGTATCAGGTACTCAATAGATATCTGATGAATAAATGAATTCATTCCAGGGTTCTTCTCCCCCTCCCCACCCCCACATAGTTTTTTCTGACCCATCACTGCAACAGGAATTGTAATTTAGGACAAGAAAATAGAAATTCTGTAATCTCACAGGTTAAAAAAATTATTACAGAATTCAAAATATGTGGCATATTACTGGACTGTAAAATACAAACGTTTGACAAGAAAATAATTGGCACATGAAATTAAATCATCTTTATAATGTCAGTTCTTGACTTCATTTTATCTTTTAATCATGTGGTGTGAAGCTGATAAACCTCTGAGGTAACTTGCCAAATAGATTCACATTTGTCTTCTAAACAAAGGCTCCACAGACTCCACTTTAAAATACTACACGCTGGCTGGGAGGGGCTGCCTGTGTTTTGTTTTCATCTTTAAATAAAGCATTGCGCTCTTGTGGTCTGTTGCACAAGTTTCGTCTCTTGTTACATTCGTGGTGTGCACATGTCACCCTGCCGTGGGTCACTCTGTTTCACTCACATTACGGGAACAACCTAAAACAAAATGTCTAAGCGACAGGATGAGTGGGGTATACCACAGACAGGAAATGACATTCACACTTCTGCCAACACAGCAACTGTCTGCTTTACTAAACGAAAATACTTTATAAAAATAAAGGTAACCAGTTTACCTATCAGCAGGCAAGTTACAGCTGGGGGCATTTTGGTTTCTAGTACACAAAGTGGTCTCTACATCTAACACTAAAGAAGTATATTTGTTGAGGGCTTATTTCAGTCATTCCTTTTGTGAGACAAAGGTACTTTCTGACAAACACACCAACTTCCTGGTTTTTAGAGCTCTGGAATACTGCTCTTAGATACATTTGTTGCATATGCTTTAGATACATTTGTTGCATATGCTTTAAAGTATATCTAAGTGCCTTCTTCAAAATGTATGTAGTGCTTTCACAAGGGGGGAGTTGGGGTGGAGGACAAGAGTCCTTGGTTAACTCAAAGCTACCTGGAAAATTCCTGATTATAAAAGAAAAACCAGGAGTCAAAGTCATGATTGGTATAAGGGAAAAGACGCTGTTCTATTTAAGTCTTTTATACAAATTTCAATAAACTTTTCTGATACAACAAAATGCACAGCAGATCCAGCTGGGCTGGGAGCTGCCTTAGTAGGTGCAATGTAGGCCCCCAGAGAGTCATGGCAGATGCACTCTGGATGGTATGATCAACTGTCTTTACTCTGTGGTCTCAAATTTTGACTCCCCAGTGATCACAAAAGTGGCATAAAGGGGACAAGAGTGTTGGTCACAAGGGACCAGGAATGAAAGTGTGACTAATTACAAAAAACCCTTCTCATCACTGAAAAAAAGTCAAAGCTCTATAAATGCTATTAAAGATGAGATGGCAGCATGGTGGCACAGAAAAACCAAAATTCGAAACCACCAGAGTTTAGGAGGATCAATTTCAACTTGAAAATTAAATGCCTGATTTGCATATGAAGAAACTAATATGTAAATTTAATCACATGTACTTCAGTGTACAGTAAAGGCTGAGTATATCTTGCTAGAGTAACAAGAGACTCATTTATGTAAGTATTCATGTTTCTTGAAGCAGCTGGCTGAAGATTCAATCAGCACAGAGTTGGTCTCTCAAATCGAGAAGAGTAGGTGAAAACTTTTATACGTTTTCTGAACTGACCAGTTCTCTAGAGTCTGGCCTAGGAAGAGGACTCCTCCAGTAAACTCTATGGAGCCATCTGTGTATGATTACAGATGCCGAAGTTAAACACAAACCCCAGAGGACTTAACTCCTATATTAAGGAAAACACAAGATAAAGAACACTCTCTGAATCTAAAAATGGAGAGTAACTAGCTTCTTGATGAGAGAACGACAAGGATCATCTTTCTAACACAGTGACAGTGAAGTTCTCCAGTCTTTATCAGGGATACAACTGAAGAACATCTACTCGTGTCCTGCCCTAAGATCACCTGCTCATCAAGTGGAAAATCATCCCTTGATTGACAGATGAACTGAGCTACTAATAGCTAACTTGAGTAGATGCCAACTGTATGCCAGGCACTGAGCTAAGCACTTCACAATATTTCATTTAACCTTCACAACAAGGTTACTTGGGTACTATTTTTTACCCTCAATTTACCATAAGAGACTGAGGGGCTCAGAGATGGTAAATTATCTGCCCAAGATCATACAGCTGGCTAGCAATCCTCTGAGCCAGGATTCAAACCAAGGTTTGATTTGAAAGTTCATGCTCTGAATCAGTCTTTACTATGCTGTTCTAGTTTATGATAAAGTTTACGGAAGATGAAACGCGGTGTCTTCCCTTACAGAGCTTTTCAACAGAACAGATTTTAAAAGCAGATACAGAAGTGAAAGCAAAGGACAGAAATTCATCCAGATCTCAGCTCTGCTCATTCCTTTTTTGTTCCCTGACCAAGGCCATGAACAGAAAGACTACTGAGGGGAATGAAGAACATCTGGCTGAGAGATGAATCCAGATGGGCTGCACAGTAGAGAAAAGAACTGGGCATGATGGTAGCATTTTTAGTCTCAAAAACAGAGGAATGAATCCTCTGCTTTAAATAATTCGGGGAAGCACTCTGTGCCAATCCCTCGCAATCAAAAGCACTTTCCAAAGCATGAAATTTGTGAACTGGCAGTTTCTACTCCAGCAAAGTGTAGAGAAGGTCAACTAAGGGAAGAGAACACGTAACTGTTTTGAGATTAGAATAAATTTTTGAGGAATGTGGCCAG